ACACCCCTGCTGCAGTGGAGTTTAATATCAATGATGATACTGAGCTTTTATTTAGTGGTATCTTCCATTTGCAGATGAAGGCTCAGAAAGCTAATGTAACTTACAAAAGCTCACACAGCCAGGAAATGGAAGGACATAGGCCTTGAAAGAAAGGTTGGTATGACCACGGGGATGGATCCCTTTTGTTTTACTGCCTCTCATTCACCTGCTCAGGCCTTCCTCTGGTCTTTTCAGCTGTGCAGGTGCCACAGCATGACTGGAACAAGAGAGGACTTCCTCACAGGGCAGCATCTGGAACAGACAACCTGGAAGCCAAGGCAAGTCAGGAAAGCTATTACTTGAGAGGCTGACCGTGAATACTTTAGGGCCAAAGACAAGAAATGAAATGTTACTGGAAAGGAAAATGAGGTGTGGAGTACAAGGGTTGGACCATGAAGACCCAAATCCAGGAACACTGGGTAAGTATGCCCTTTGTGTAATGCCCCAGTGCATCTTGACAGAGTAGCAACAGCATCATAAAGGAGCTACACCAGCACTGACACCAGCTTTTCTCCAAAATGTGATTATTACTCATGTGTTCCCTCCCACTGTCCCGCATGCCCCAACACTGCTCTCTCCATCCTACTCTTACTTGTTTTGAAAATAAGTATTTTACTAGCTTATCAAAATAATGCATGCAAATAACTTTAGACATTTATATAATACAGGAGGGCATATAAGAAAAAGCACAGTCACCTTCTCCACCCCAACCCCTTTCCAATTCCAATTTTCCCCACTTAGTACTTTTGTAAATTTCCAAATGTCCATGCTCTCCCATAGCTCTTACCAAACAGCACAAGCTGGATGCTGTCCCAGTATTTCTCTCCTGATTTTATTATCTCAGAAGGAATGGGAGGAGCTGAGCTTAAATGTCCCAAAATATAAAGCCTTGGTGAATATGAAGAGACTGAGACCCTGAGAAAGCACACCAGGGCATCTATCCAGCCCCCTTTGTTTAATTGATTTCCATGGGCAGATGGATGGTTTCTCCCCATTGTCTGGTGTGTATTGTATACTTTGCCAGTTCAAGGGGATGAGTCAGCGTCTCCCTCCTCCTTTATTTTCCATCCACTTCTACTGCAGCTCTCTACAATTTTGTTGACTTCTTTTAAGGCTAAGAGGAACCTCAAACACTATCTGAATTCAAAGACACATTTTTCCATCTCAGTAGCAGAAGTTTGTTCTGGGGTCTGGTTCTGCAATGACTTAGAAATTCCTTTGTCTACTGTCCTAAAGGACATGATGTGTGTATTCATTCACTCAACAACTATCTGCTAAGCATCCATGCTGTGCCAGGCACGCGCTCAGCATGCTGGACACAGTTTAATGCACAGATTAGTGTGTAGTCTGTGCCCTCATCTTGCTAATGGCCTAGAAGGAAAATCAGATGAAAAGGCCACTACAAGGCAGTGTGGTGAGAGCTTGCACAAAAACAAGGTCCATGGGAGCACTGGGAAAGGCATTGCCCCACTGACTGCGTGGTCAGGGACGGCCTTCCAGACCAGGGACACTGAGTTGAGTTTGAAAGGCCAAATCTGACCCCTGGCTGGTGTGGCTTAGTTGGTTCGGCATTGTTGCATGCACCCAAAGGTTGCTGGTTGGATTCCCAGTCAGGGCACATACCCAGGTTGCAGGCTTGATCCCTGGAGTGCAGGAGGCAGCTGATTGATGTTCCGCTCTCACATTGATGTTTCTATTTCCCTCTCCCTTTCTCTCTTTCTAAAAATCAATAAAAATAAAATCTTTAAAAAAATAAAGGCATCAGAGTTAGAGGGTGTCTGGAAAGCATCTGGAGGCACTAAGTGTGGTTGAAGCGGTCTTCTTGTGATCAGAGTCCCAAAACTGCCGATGGATAGTCACAATATCTGGACAATATCTGTCTATTTTCTGGATTAGCAACCTAAATACTGATCTTTTTAGACAATGGCAGCTTCACCCCACCCGAGTTTCGTTGTTATAAATCAGTTTCCCCATATAAGAGTGCTCTTTGTACCCAGATCTGCACGGAGCTAAATAAGCAACCCTGTCCCAGCAGCCAGCCCTCTCCTGGCTCTTTGTATCTGCTTAAACTTCTGTCTCAAGTTTTGCTGCTTCTGGGGACCCAGTTCCAATATTTATCGCTCAGGTGCTTCCTTCCTCTCAGAAGGTCCTAAGCACTCCAAGATTCTGAAAGAGGAAATCAAAGGACTTCTCAAAGCTACATTCCCACTGCTTCACGGAGTTATATGAAGGACAAAGAAAACAGGACTGTAGGACACATGGAAATCCCCCAGAATTCCAGCCCATCTCCCCTGAAATTCCACGTTGGTGTTTCATCCTTTTATCTAAACACTTTGTAGCTATTAAGCTAAGATTCATCCCAGGAAAATAATATTTAAAGGAAATAAGTCCCCCCCCCCTCTTTTTTTTACTTTGATAGAAAATGAACATAATAGCACTGGACAGTAGAAAAGCAGAAATCAATGAGGAGAGGAGCAATCCAGGTCTAAAAAACTGAGCGATTGAGCCCGACCGGCGTGGCTCAGTGGTTGAGGGTCGACCTATGAACCAGGAGGCCACAGTTCGATTCCCAGTCAGGGCACCTGCCTGGGTTGCAGGAGGCAAGCAATCCATGATTCTCTCTCATCGTTGATGTTTCTGTCTCCCTCTCCCTCAGCCTTCCTCTCTGAAATCAATAAAAAGTATGAATATATTTTATTTATTTATTTTAATTAAATCTTTATTGTTCAGATTATTATAGTTGTTCCTCTTTTTGCCCCCATAGCTCCCCTCCACCCGGTTCCCACCCCACCCTCTGCCCTTACCCCCACCACCTACTGTTCTCATCCATAGGTGTAAAATTTTTGTCCAGTCTCTTCCCACACCCCCCACACCCCTTTCCCCCCCAAGAATAGTCAGTCCACTCCCTTTCTGTGCCCCTGATTCTATTATAATCACCAGTTTATTCTGTTCATCACATTATCTATTCACTTGATTTTTAGATTCACTTGTTGATAGATGTGTATTTGTTGTTCATAATTTGTATCTTTACCTTTTTCTTCTTCTTCCTCTTCTTAAAGGATACCTTTCAGCATTTCATATAATACTGGTTTGGTGGTGATGAACTCCTTTAGCTTTTCCTTATCTGTGAAGCTCTTTATCTGACTTTCAATTCTGAATGATAGCTTTGCTGGGTAAAGTAATCTTGGTTGTAGGTTTTTGCTATTCATCACTTTGAATATTTCTTGCCACTCCCTTCTGGCCTGCATAGTTTCTGTTGAGAAATCAGCTGACAGTCGTATGGGTACTCCCTTGTAGGTAACTGACTTTTTTTCTCTTGCTGCTTTTAAGATTCTCTCTTTGTCTTTTGCTCTTGGCATTTTAATTATGATGTGTCTTGGTGTGGTCCTCTTTGGATTCCTTTTGTTTGGGGTTCTCTGCGCTTCCTGGACTTGTAAGTCTATTTCTTTCACCAGGTAGGGGAAGTTTTCTGTCATTATTTCTTCAAAAAGGTTTTCAATATCTTGTTCTCTCTCTTCTTCTGGTACCCCCATAATTCGGATGTTGATATCCTTGAAGTTGTCCCAGAGGCTCCTTATACTATCTTCATATTTTTGGATTCTTTTTTCTTTTTGTTTTTCCGGTTGGATGATTTTTGCTTCTTTGTATTACAAATCTTTGACTTGATTCTTGTGATCCTCTAGTCTGCTGTTGGAACTCTGCATACTATCCTTTATTTCAGTCAGTGTATGCTTAATTTCTAGTTGGTCCTTTTTCATAACCTCGAGGGTCTCACTAGATTTCTTGAGGGTCTCACTAAATTTATCGGCTGTTTCTAGAAAATTCTTGAAAAACCTTAAAAGTGTGGTTTTGAACTCTATATCCAGTAGTTTGCTTTCCTCCATTTCTGTCATTTGTGACCTGATTTTTGGCTCTGCATTTTGGCTGCTTCCCTGTGTTGATAGAGTGGCTTTCTGTCTTAGGTGTCCTATAGGGCCAGTGGCTCAGCCTCCCCAATTACCTGAGGTGGACACTCTTGGTGCACCCCTTTGTGGGCTTGGTGCACAGTCTTGTTGTAGTTAAGCCTTGATTGTTGTAGGTATCACTGGGAGGAATTGACCTCCAGGCTAATTGGCTGTGAGAATCAGCTGTGTCTGCAGTGGAAGAACTTCTGAGCTGGAGACACCCTTCTGGGGCAAGACTTGCTTCAGTGGGGCTTTGGTGCTCACTGAGTCTGCCCCCTGAGTGTGTCCCTTATGGATCTGAGGAGTTGTAATCTGGATGGTCCCACTCTGACCACTGGGTACACTGGCTCTTGGATCTCTAAGGAGGTGCTAATTTAGCCTCTACCTGAGGCTACCCAGCAGGAGCTATGGAGAGATTCCTCTTCTTTGTTTGGGATTTAGAGGTCCCCAGATGAGGCCCAGCTGTGAAGCAATGCAAGCTGCTGTGGGGCCTTGGACCTTCTTTTGGAAGTTCTGGTTCTCTCTGATTCAGCTGCAGTTTGTTAGGTAATTTTCAGGTTGCAAAGGGCCAGGCCTTTCATATGCAAAAGCCTCTGCGCACAGTTGGAGTGGGGCGGAGTCTCAGGGGATCAACAGGGCGGAGCAAGCAGCTATGGCTGCTCCCCAGTCCTACCCTAAGAGGCCCCGCATCTCAGTGTCCTGGTAATCGCTGCAAGCACCTCTGAGAGAAAGCCGCCCTCGAGGTCTGCCCTCAGACAGTCCAGTTTTTCCCCCGTATGAGTCTGGGTCCCCAGAGACTGCCTGGAACTGGAGTTCAGAGCAGTCGGGAGCTTGAGACTCCCTCCCAGTTGAAAAAGACAACCAAGTCCTCAGCTGCCAGCCTTTTCCGCGTGCGCCTCTGCACTTTACTTCCACACCGCACCTCCTCTGAGTCTCAGTGTGCTTTTCTCTTTCCTTCTAATTGTAGAATTTCCACTCAGCCAGCCTTCCTGTGGTTCTGGATGATGTCTTTTGGTTGTGTTTTTGAAGTTGTTGTGCGAGGCAGCAATTTCCAGTGTTTACCTATGCCGCCATCTTGCTTTCTCCTGTATATATTTTTTTAAAAAGTGAGAGATTGAAATACAACAAGTTTGCCCAAGTTTAGTCCAGCCTTTAAAGAGAGAGAAATGTGACGGAAAGAAGGCAGGAGAAAGAGGAGATAATAAAGACAATAGGAGAAGGAAGGAATGACTGAGCTAAAGAGAAGGGCAGGGGTTTAGACAAGTGGTTGGGGAGAAAAAATGCCAAAACTAGGATCATGCAAGTTGACAATTCTTTGGGAAATGTAAGTTAATAAATGTACTCAAAGGGGGCAAAGGAGACAAGAAGACAAGATAGCAAAGAATGGGAGATACCATACTTGGTCCATAGCAAATCATTTTGGCTTTGGCTGATCATAAAAATGTTCAACCAAAGACCAATCAAATATGCTCTTCCTCTAAGGTCTTCTATACACAACTTCTTCCAACTAACCCACAGCCTCAGCACAGCTGCTCCAGCAGGGAACACACTGTAACTGCAATAGGAGTCACTCTTCCTAACTTGTTTGGAGGGGAGTTGAGTTCTGGTTGTTTTCACAGATAAAATTAAATTTCCTCTGGACTGCTTTTATGATTTCCTTCTGAAGTTACTCCTCCACCCATCCCTGCCTCATTTTCTCAATTGAACAAAGAGTCCAATTATTCTCTGTGTGTGAAAGAAGAGGACTACACAACTCTGAGAAGTCATTTCAGAATTAATTCATGGCATGAAAAATTCTCTACACACACACATATATGCACACTTACAAACTCATTCAATTTATACATCCACAAACCACCTCTGGGAGCCTCAACCTTGAAGACAGTATTTCACTAATAATTCAGTGAAAAGAAAAATTCAATTTTATCCTAGATGAGTACATGTATTTCCAAGCTGTCTATTGGGTACACAACAGTGGCCCTTTTTCTGTGTATTTCATCACTACAGTGCCCAACAGGGAACGGTAGCTTAGCAGCTTAAAAATCAACTCACTGATGAGGGAAAAATCTGTTCAAATTCTTCAGCAGGCATTGAGAAGTTTATCTTTTCCATGATATACACATACATATATCAGGGAGGGAATGTTCCACTCATGTGTGTCTCCTGGTAAAAACAGAAAGGAAAATATTACTGTGCCCTAAGAGTTTAGAATAAAGCCGATGAGAACACACTCAGGAATTTTTTGAAGCACCATTGGGGACTACTTACAGACTTTAATTGTAAGTAGTAAATTTGGAAAGCCATGTTACCCTAAAACTGTTATTTACTTTTCTCCATGAGCTTGGGGAAGCATTGATTTGGAAATATGGATTTATTTGCCTGCTGAGTCTTTTGGAAAACATTTCCTGGTCCTCTTTATGATCCCAGCCTGTTCGTTTTGGCTTTATATGGAAGTTAATTTCTGTTGGCATTGCATCTATTACTTCATCGAAGTCATGTGTAAGGTTCAACTACATTTTCTCTAGAGTTTTGTAAACACTCATACTGAGACTCTCTGGAAAAGAAAGAACTTTAACTCCATATGGGGAAGGCTGGTTAGCAAGAATTGCAGGTCACTTTAGATAGAAATAGGGGGTTTTCCTTGGAGCTAGAAGGAACCAGTTAAGCAAGAGCACGTTAAGGTATTCATCAGGGAAGAATTTTTTTTGACTGTGCAATGCTTAACAAATTCTGAAACTGGCTACCAAGGAATACCTATTATGGGAAGTATTTCAAAGAATTGTCCATGGTATAGCACCCATTTCTTTTGAATTATTTAAGTACAGAGATGTTTATAATGATGAAAGTCCTAAACTATAATAGAAAAAAGGACTCACAAACCATCTTTGCCAGACCTGGTAAAGTTTTATTATAAAGCTTGAATGGCCAGTCTTCTTTTGTTCAACTAACGTTTTTAACTTCCCAAGAAGGAATTCGGGTGAATTTTCTATCCCTTATCCTATCTAATAAAAAGCTAATATGCTAATTGACCCTCATGCCATTGCAAAGATGGCAGCGCCCACAGCCAATAAGGAGAGAATATGCTAATTGACTGCCCGGCCTTCAAAGATGGCAGCACCCACAGCCACAAGATGGCCAGCAGGGGAGGCCAGTTGTGGGCAATCATGACAGCAGGGGAGGGCAGTTAGGGGTGACCAGGCCAGCAGGGGAGGGTAGTTAGGGGAACCAGGCCAGCAGGGGAGCAGTTAGGCATTGATCAGGCTGGCAGGCAGAAGCAATTAGGGGCTGATCAGGCAGGCAGTCAGGCGAGCAATTGGGAGCAAGCAGTCCCAGCAGTCAGGCACCTCCTGAGGAGTCCCAGATTGGAGAGGGTGCAGGCTGGGCTGAGGGACATCCCCCCCACCCTCGGCAGTGCATCAATTTCATGCATCAAGCCTCTAATATGAAATAACCTTGTTAGGTAGAGGACAGGCCAAGATGTATCATTATAACAAACTACCTTCCTCTATACACAGACTCCTAGTTAAATGAACTGTGGCCAGGACAGCAGGGTTTGTTTGAATAAGAAACAATTCTCTATCAATTGTATCGCATGCTGCAGAAAAGAACTGGTTGGAGTCATTTTTATTAAAAGTTTACTTTTCCACAATGGCTGAAAAAGAAAAGGAAAGATATATGCAACAAACGTGGCAAAGTATTAATACTGCTAATGTAAAAAGTGCTCTAATAAATGAAAAACACACACACACACACACACACACACACACATCACAATAAGAAAAACATTTGTCTTTTTGGAGAAGACATCTGAATGCCCATCTAATGCAGACAAGTATTGGAGAGTAAATCCACCCCCCCTTTTTTGTGTTGGTTTTTTTTTAACTACAGAAGCCAAAGGGGCCTAGGAATCCTGCTCTTACTCACTGATCACTATGGTGCAGGCACGTGACGTAGGCACAGTCAATCAAGTGCTTCCATCTGGGACTTTGAATCTTGAGAATGCTGCAAAGACAAAGGGGCAATTGAGAGTTTACTCATAATAGTATTGAGAGTCCCAAAATAGTGGCAGTGAGCTTTATAGAAGATTCAGGTGACAGCATATAACTGTCCTGTCCTATGGTGTTAGATTTATTGCATTCCCTGCTGCCCAGTCTTCCCTTACCAAGCCTGGAGTAGATATTAACGGCATCTTTATTTTACCAAGGGAAGGGAAGTTAAGTTGACCAAAGTCACACAGCTATTTAAAGGAGCAAGACTAGAGCACAAACCAAGCAGGCTGACTCAAAGTCCAGGTTCATAACCACTGTACCATATACTAGTATAATATCCTTTATGGATAAGACACTGAGACAGTGGAAACCATATTGAAAGTTCTCCATTGTTATTCTGATAACATTACTCTGTAAATGTTGTAATTTTCCATATATCTTCCAATCTAACTCTTTATCAGCAAGTTTGCATATGTGATAGGTTTTTTTTGAGATGTTATGTATAAATCAAAAGTCAATAAATTGAATCATGCTGGATATGTATATTTTCAGATATGATTTTACTTTATTTGCACATAATTTTTTGTTGACATTGACTCCTAATTTTTTTTCTTTTAAATCTTTATTGTTGAAAGTATTACATATGTCCCCTTTTTCTGACTCCTAATTCTTAAGTTTATTATTTGACAGATAAGTGACATATAAATTATATATAATTATGGATAATTCCTCCATAGCATTTCTCTCACTTTCTTTCTCAAAAAAGGCTTCAATACATTAAAAGAGATTGCTATTTGAAAGACCACAGAAACTTTTTTCCAAAATAAAGATAAATGAACTGTATCAGATGTTCTCTGGTATCTCAAAGGGAAATTTAGACCCAGTAAAGTCCCACCAAGGCCATGCTGGGGAGTGAAAACAAAACCAGTTCATGGGTACTTTCTAAACACATTTATGGAAAAGCTAGAGGCCCAATGCATGAAATTCATACAAGAGTAGGCCTTCCTTCCCCTGGCTGCCGGCACCAGCTTCCCTCTGGCACCCGGGACCCAGACTTCCCTCCAGCCACCGGCAACCGGGACCGCAGAGGGAGGCCCCGCCCACCCGCTGCAGCCCATCAGTCAGTGGCCTGAGCCTCCCTCTGCAGGGTGATCATGGGGCAATGGCCGGGCCAGACCAATCGCATCACACCCGCGTTGGCTGGCCTGGTGCCAGTGGGTGGTCATAGTGTGGTCCTGGATAGTTGTTTATGAGTTTATAAAGATAACAGAAAAGCAGTTATTATGGTGAAAAGAGTATTAGTCTACGTAAGAGTTTGCATCTCTGAGTCTGCAATTCACCAGTTGTGGAATCTTTGACAAATTCCTTAACCTTTGAGATGGAATCATATTATTATAGGCACTGCATGGGGACATCAAAAAGTTTAAAACCTAAAGCTTTGTCCTCTAAGTAGCTTCTGATATGAAGCCAGAAAAGACATATAGATATAAAGGATTAATGGTAAGATACATCTAAGTTAAAGTTTGATACTTGATATATGAATCTAATAACTATGCTCATAGGAATATTTTGAGAAATAAATGCAATAATGAATGAGAACATGGTTAATAAATTGTAAAACAAGTTTTAAAGGTTCCATACTACAATCTTATTTCCAGTGCTCTAGGTTTTCTATTTTTATCGCATTATTTGACTAAAACATTTGCTATGTCATTCCAATAACAGGTAGTATTAGAAGAGTCACACTCAATATTTATGAATCCCCAAATGCTTTGGACAAGTATTCCTGTCCTCTGAGAAGGAGTAAGTGATTCCTACCTTCTACCTAGAACTGTTACCAAGATAGGCAAGAGGGTAGTGTCCTTCTGGGAAATCTGTACCACCAACACCTACAGAGTGGAAATCTCTTCCTTATTATCAAAGAAAACACAAGCTCAAAATCTATGTTTGACTGAAATTCTTTTTCCTTGATTAATTTCACCTTAAATTCCCTTCCATCCCCAATTTTTTTGTGTTAACTCTACCATAAAGAGCTTACAGACTACATGTTCTGAGCTCGAGTTTGGAAAGCTTGTGGAATATTAACAGGGAAACATGAGATAACATGATGCAAAGAAACTCAGTTCTGAAAGAACTATGCATGACCACAGCATGGATTTTCTCTCTTCAAGTTATATGGGGTTGTTTTAAATTTTATGCACATTCCCAAGCAAGCCTAAGGATGTGTTGGATACACAAAGTGAAACTACCAAATTCCAACGGACCTAGCAGCAGTTGGGCAGAAAAGTGAGTATTTTAGGGGCTAATGGGCATCTCAGCTCATAGCTTCTGAGGTTATACACAGGATATCGCTTTGTTTGATCTTGTAAGAGAAGAGCAGAGAAATGCCAATTATAGAGAGTAAATGCTGTGCCTTAAATAACCATATAACAACAAACCGTATCACTTCATGGCAGGCAGAAACCAGATTAATTTTGGAACACAGCATGGTAGAAAAGAGTTCGTTAATTCTCAAGACTCTTAAACCCCCAAAGACTGCTGACTCCACTTTTTCTGTGCTGCAATCCTTCCCCCATGTTGGGTAGCAGTAAATAAATGGCAGCTATTTAAGCACTGCAGATGAAGTCTGTGGATGAGAACTGAGTCTGTATTAGGAGCAAAGAGTCCACACAGTTCAATGGCTCTGACTCCCAGTGTGCATTTAAACCCAAATTCTGCATCCAGATAGCTGAACAGAATAATGAGAGTCATTTCAGCTGAGGTTTGGGGTTCCACTCATAAATATAATAAATAGCTTGAATGGCAAAAACATCTTTACCCTAATGACTCACATCTCTGTGAAACAAAAATCCAAACCAAACTAAATAGTTAGCCACAAAGGGCATTAAGGCCTTGATTAAAATATACATAACAGCCCTGGCTGTTGTGGCTCAGTTGGTTGGTTGCTCATCCCATCCACCCCACAACCAATCGATGCTTCTCTTTCACATCAATGTTTTTCTCTCTCTCTCTCCTTGTAACAAAACATAGAATATAGATATAAATAAAAGAAAATTTAAACAACTAGCAAAATTTTAAATAAATGAGTGCATGATGTCCATTAAGAACAAAGATTTATACATTAAGTGTGTTTTACTTTCATGATTAATTAATGCTGCAAAAACAACAACTATACAATCTCAGGAACAAAAACATAAAGCATTTATTTTTCTTTTTTAATCCTCACCCAAGGATATTTTCCATTGATTTTCAGAGAGAATGGAAAAGAGAGAGAAAGACATAGAGGAAATATTGATGTGAGAGAAATACAATGATTTGTTGCCTCCTACACGTGCCACAACCAGGGCCCAAACCAGGGAGGAGCCTGAAACTGAGGTACGTGTCCTTGACCGGAATTGAACCCAGGACCCTTTGGTCTGCAGGCCAATGTTCTATCCACTGAGCCAAACCAGCTAAGGCAAGCATTTATTTTTCATTCTGCACCTGCTGGGATTCAACTGATGTAGATTGGTGTGTAAGCTGTGGGTTGTGTCTAGGTCTGGTCTGTGTTTAGATTCAACTCCTCTCATCCTTCTTGGACCAGAAGATATGTACAAGCATATTTCAAGCCTTTGCTTATGTCACATCTGCTAACACTCCATTGGTCAAAGCAAGTCACATGATCAAGCTTACTAGTAAAGCCAAAAAGCAGAAAAGTATAATTTGCCCTTCCTAAGACATTGACAAGCGTGTGAATGTATAATTCCCCTGGAAAAGGGAATGAAGAATTGCAACCAATAATTCAATCTACAACAGCATGGATGTCACAAAGAGAAATGGGCCATTTGTGTCTGTACTAGGCCTTTATATATCAGGGAACCTCTACACCAAAATAAGAAAGGACTTATGACTTTCAGAGCTGGAAAGAACCTTAATCTAACTCCTCACTTCACAGATGAGGAAATTGAGGTCTCAAATGAGGAAAAGGCTTCCCCATAGTCATGTGACTGGTAAGTGGCTATTGCAGGTCTGGCCAATTCACGTTCAAATACGCAACAGTGGGACACAATGGAGGAAGGGGAGGAGCCCTCTCCCCAAGCAAAAGGGAGTCAGTTCAAGTAAAAAGGCTTTCCTAAAGATGGAATATTCTTTACAAAACTCAAGTGTTTTGCTGAGACACAGAAATCTCTGGGCCTCCTGATTATTTCTATCAAGAATGCAATATTACATAAGCAACTGCCAAACTCGCAACTTCCATTAACTATTATGCCTAATTTAACAAAAGTATTGTCAATCTGTCTATATTCTGTAATCTCTACCCTTCCTCAAATGAAAGCAGAACTACCATAAGTTGTTGCCAAAGTTATTCTAGTTTGTATTCTACCATTAGCAAATTTATCCTTTAAGTCTCTCATACTTCACTCTTCACTCTGTGGACCCACACCAGCAGCATCACCACCTCTTTCCAGGTCCTCCCTTATGACACCCCAAAACTCACGTATGTGCTTTCTCTCTTTACATCTTAGTCCTCCACCTTCACAAAAGTACTCTTTCACACATGTTCTTCTCTTGTTGTTTTTAAGTTATGAAGAGATAAATGGTGACTTAGTTTATTTAACACCAGGGCCCAGCTAAGGCAATGCACAAAGCCCATGTGCTGAATCAAGGAAGTGGAATAATAAACTCTGAAGACTGCACAGAGGTGTGGTGACTGTTCCAATCAAATAAACCCTACAACAAAGCTAATCATTCATATGTATAATCATGTCCTTCTGCATTAACAGGCACAAATAATAAGCTGCTCGCATAAATGAATGCAAAGGACTGTCACATTTAGAGAGTAAAATCCTGCATTTGTGCTGCAAGTAGGAGAAGGAGGTAGGAGACTGTTCCAAAATCCCTCGGATCTTTAAATATTGAAAGGTTTGTCCGTCAAAAGGAAGAAAAGTCTTATTTGGTGGAGCTCCAGAAAACAGAACTAGGACAAGTAGGTGAATTTAGGGAGAGAAATTATTTGTGCTCAAAATATGGAAT